ATACATAGGAGCTCGCAGAGTCTTGGCTATGCTCATCCACCAGCTTGATGTTCCAGCTCCACCTGTTCCAGTTCTACCAACGACATCACGCATTCAGCACAGTGTCTCTTTACCGCCACTGAACATCACTCATTTCTCTGGTGATTATGAAAAGTGGCCAGAATTTAGAGACATGTTCACGTCAATAGTCATCAATCGTGAAGGTCTTCAGAACATTGAGCGTCTACACTATCTCAAGACCTATCTTTCAGGTCAAGCAGCTCAACTCATTGCCAGCATACCAATGTGCAATGAAAACTTTGCAACATAGAAATAAAAAATACTTCTTTTCATCCAAGATAGTAAAAATAGAACAATAAAATAAATTTTTAAAAGTTAGTACCAAAAATATCCGATAGGTGGCGCATTGTGGCAAAAATTCTCGCTGGAAGAGAATTGACTTGTATTTAATAAGTTCTATTCGGGATAAAAATTTTTTTGTCTTACAAATTTTATCATTTTTACTATAATTTTTACAATTACCCACTTTTATTTAATTTTTTGGTTGAAACTCGAAGACTCTTTAGAAAATTAAACTCAGAAAATTAAGCAATCTTAATAAATTTATTATAATAGAATAAATTAAATACTGAGTAAAAAATATTTATTTAGACGAAAATAAGGAATTGTACTGACCAACAATTAATTTTCAATAATTTTATTTGAATAACTTTGTTGTAATTGTAATTCTTAAGCTTCGAAAGAAATAATTTGATATCATCAAAAACATGCTCAATTTTCTTTATTATCTCTTTTAAATAAATTTTCAGAAGAAAATAATGTGAAAAATGTTCTATATTATCAAATTAGATTTCATGATATTAATTTGTAACGAGTACTTTGGTATTATAGGGTAAATTCGGAGTAGCTCGTCGGATTCCAGGATTCGGACGGGTTATTAGGATACAGTTCTCGTTAAAATTAATAAAATTTATTTCTGGAGCGAACAGTAATCTTTATTAACATTAAATCAAAATCTCAAATACAAATATAATTATATATTTCCTTTCTTTTTCTATTTACTGCAAGCTAAAGGCTCCGATTCAACCTGCGTTTCCTTAGCAAAGGTCTACAGGGAATGCAAGGAGCTCTTGGTCCGTACAGCGATGCTCAATCGTATTACATTAGTTTTTTACATACGAGAACACGGCCTTCGTTATCTCCAAGTGACTACGAGCTGTCTCTACTGTTAGTACCAGTACAACTGGCCAGGAGTTTGCGAATCACTTGGTCCCTAACTCTTATATACTAATTCTTCTTTCTTCTATTATTCTATTGATGCCTGCCTCTTCTTCTGCTTGGTCTCCTTGGCGACACCGTTCACCTGACGGCTGGGTGGATCTCTGCTTGGCCTCTTTGGCTGCACCGTTCACACGACGGCTGTGAATACCTATGAAGAAGATGATCCTGTGCAACTCAATATTTTTTCCGATGGTTCAAAGTCGAGAATACTGTCATTTTTTGACAGTAAATTTTTAGTTGCTACCACAGATTTGAGTGTTTTAGAACTCAAACAATTGCGATGGTCAGTTTTGATGATTTTTAAATCACTAAAAATTCTTTCCACTGAAACATTTGAAAAAGGTAAGACGAGTAAGAAATTAATAACAATTTTTAAATTTTTAAACTTCATTTCACCAACTGGGTTAGTGAGTTTAAAAATTTGTTGCCAATAAATCTCAGCCGTAGAATTAATATCAATATTATAGTCTTCTAAGTTTAATAGAGCATGCTCTTTCCACTCATTATCAAGTTGTTGCAAAGTCACATATTCATTTAGTACTGGAAATCTTTTTAATACGAAGTCGAAACTTTTTATGTTGAAAGTTCTAGCTACTTTTGGATCAAGTAAGTCTAAGAACTCATAAATTTTATCCTTAAAATCAAATTTTTGTTTAAGAACCGTCACAGCTTCAATATAGAAACTTAAAACTTTTTTTCTAAACTCGTCCACTTCCAATTTCAAAGATGGTTTTTCAGTTAATAATTGTTCTAAGTTTTTATTTACTTCTGTTCCAACATAAACTTCATTAAGAGGAACATATTTGTGAGGATCTTGATGATTTAACTTCATGATATCATTTCGTCGAATATGAGTTATATCGATATAATTACTACAAATATTTTTCATTAATTTTTCGACTTCTGGTTTGACTTTATGAAGTAAAGGCTTCTCAGATTGAAAAAGACGGTTAAAATCAGTGAATAGTTCTAACGCATAGCTCAAAAATTGTAAAGTTACATAGGTGAAGCGATTATCCATTGTTTTTACCATGCTTAATAACATTGGAGGAGATTTATCGGTCAATTCACCTTGAAGATAAACGTGGACAGGAGTATATTGTTCCAGCACACGATCTACGCAACATTTCAACGATAACCATCTTGTTGTACTTGGTGACAAAATCTTGTGTATTTTAACTCCGAAGTACTCTTGAAATTCTTCTAATCCTTTTAATACGTTTATAACTACGGTGAAAATAAGCTGCTAAATTTCGCAATAATTCTTCTGCAGAATTGGATAACTTTAAACAAGCTTTTGATGCAACAAGATGAATCATATGGCAAGAACATTTTGTAGTCACGATGTCCGGTAGTTCTTTTTTTAGTAAAGCAAATACGGATAAATTATCTCCAGCCATGTTATTAGCAGTATCTGATGCAAACCCAACAAAATTTTTGAGAGGGATATTTTTATCAGTTATTACTTTAATGAGTAAAGAATATAAATCTTCAGCTGTCGCAGAATCAGTCTCAACCATATCAAAAAAATTTGTTTGTATTTTTGCTGTCTTATCATCATAATAAATTACTGAAAAAGCACATTGCTTAATATTATTAACATCAGTTGATTCGTCCATAATAATAGAAAAAAAAGATCCAGGCTTCATCAACTTTTCATTCAATTCTTCTAACAAAACAGTGCTCAAACTATGAATAACAGCTGTAGTTTTCGTTCTTTTTAAAGACAGTTGCTTCGCAATTTTAGAATCGGGGAAAATTTTTGAAATTATTGGTGTAAGTGTATCCATCAATGAAAATGATAAGCATTTCACAGCTACCGTTGCTGCCAAAATGAATTCAGCTCGTTTTATTTGTTTATTTAATGGCAAATCTTGGATGAGATTTTCAATTTTTTGCTGACTTGCTTT